GAAGAGAGAGAGACAGACAGGAGGAGACAGTTATGCCAGCCTGGAAGAGAGAGAGACAGACAGGAGGAGACAGTTATGCCAGCCTGGAAGAGAGAGAGACAGACAGGAGGAGACAGTTATGCCATCCTGGAAGAGAGAGATAGACAGGAGGAGACAGTTATAGCAGAGAGGGAGACACTGCGTTTTGCTTGCAGCTTCAACTGCACAACCTGTAAACTCCAAACTCGCAGATGTCCCTTATTGAAATATTTGTTAAATAAGTCTGTGCTGGGTTGCTGTTATGAGACATAATAAAAGAAAAAGGGTTTGCAGAAGAGAACTTGAGATCCTTTTGCTGAGGTAAATGAAGTGAATGGTGTAAGCTGTGGCAAGTTACCCAAGTGAGCAGGGCTGTGCTCCTCCCACTTGCATAAGTATTTGTGAAAACCACAGCTGAGTGTAGAACATCTTTGCACTTCATCTTGTGCATCATGTTGACAGAACTGGAGACACGGTGAGAACAGCCTGGTGTCCAAACTGTGAAACTGGATTATGAAGTCCTGGCAGCTAAGGAGTGAAGCTCACGCACATACTGTAAACATCCAAGGCACACAGGAGACACAGGCACACATGCCAGACAGTATGACATAGTACTCTGGTCTCTGACAACATAATCTGATAACAAGCATTTCTCCATACTAAAGCCACTTTCACAACTTCACACCGTTTTGAGATTGAAATTTAGACATTATTGAGTTAACTGTAACTGCTAGTGTGTACGTGACAAGCTTCCAAATGACTTAAACTTCTGTTCCTAATTTCCAAATGTCATAGACGTTTTCTTCACAACCTTTTTGTTACTTCACTGTGAAGCTGATGCTGTAACAAACAAAGAAAACCACATCCCCAAGAAAGGCACCTGCAGAACAAATGTGGATGAACAATAGGTTGATTCACACGTTGACATAGTAACCAAAGGGGAATATTGAAAAATATAAAGAAGTCCTGACATCTAAAGTTTGTGGTTACGCTTTATCCAATTAATGAAGAGAAAAATAATCCTTCACTAGAAACCTAAAATTGCTATAATTGACCCTATCGTACACATTGAATGTTCGGCTACTATCAGCCTCCAGGGCACAATTTTAAACTGGTCCTCGTTATTAATAAACTCTTTATTTTTCCAAATAACTGTATATTTAGCTTGGTAGCAGCATGTTTACTTACCCAGTAGGGGCATCATGGTACCCGATATATTATTGAACTGTTTGGGACGATACCATGGCATTGTTATATGTCTATCATTTTCCTATTCGTACCAAACAGTTTAAAGGGTGATGTTTTTTTTTTTTAATATAAGGACACAGAAACCATACCATTACTATAACCCCAATACCGCCATACATAGATATTGTGGCGTCGGGCAGACCGAGGCATCGCGGGAGCAGAGAGAGACACAAAGACTCACTTGCGGGGGAGAAGAAGCTCTTTATTAGTAATTCTGAAAAGGGCTACATCAGGCACCCAACGACCACCAAACCAATTACACACAGGACACACAAGGTTGTCAGAGGCCAAACTGTAAGGTGCGCATACACAGTGGGAGATTTACACAAACTAAATACACACGAGGGTCGGACAGGATACACACAAGACACGGGCAAACACACGTGCGACAATAGGTAACCATTAATTAACATTAAACAACGACAATAACAAGGGCTAATTACAACTGCACACGGGTCATGCTGGGACATGCTACAATATGTGTGTGTGTGTATGTGTGTGTGTGATTTATATGTGCCTGCCCTTGCCCTGTGCCCTGTTCCTTTGTCGGTTGTGAGAGAAAAGTTGACTATAGAGGGATATTTTTGTAAATAGCTTTGGAATGTATTTTCATATATTGATGCAAGAGTGTCTGTGAGTTAGACAGCAAACACACAAGAAAGTAAGCTAAAGAGGATTAAGAGTTAACCTTAGTGTGACAATTGTGCCAGAACTTTGTGTTAGAATCCGCAGGAATGCAGGCTAGAGAACAGAGATGTAAGTTTGGAGCGCGTTTATCAGACAAAATAGGAAGACCGTAAAGGAGTGACAGATAGGAGGGGGCTGCAAGCAGGTGCCCAGACCCACGAGAAAGAGGGCATGTGAAGTGCATATATGAGGATACAGACTGCATAAAGTATATACGTGCTTGCAAGGTGCAAACTGCATAAAGTAGATATGTTAGAGTGCATGTGCCCCACCCCAACCGGGTTGATCCGGTTCTGGGAAGGGGCGCGAACTATCTGTGTACCACTATAAAAGGTATGTCAAACAAAAAGTTCTTTGAGCATTACCACGGAGGTAGAAGTGAAAGCAGTTGCTCCCTGAGTTCAGAAATAAAACGACGTCATACTCTGAAACACCGACTGAGTGTCATAAATTTCTACTACACGGTCATGGCATGTTTGTGTTCCCGGTCATGGTGTGTATCTGTGTTTTTCCTTGTGTTCTAACCAGCTGTCACACCCTGCCTGTACCGCCCTCATGTGGACCACGCCTACCTCGTTAACCCCGTGTGGAATCCTTCCGTTTACCTGCTGTTTTGCAGTTCCTGATTGTAGTCCTGTGTCTAAGTCCGCGTTCAAGTCTGTTTCCCCAGGTCTGTCATTGACGTAGTTTGTCGTGTGCTCCCCTGTTTGCTGTTCTGTCAGAAATAAACCCCGTGTCGATCGCATTTACGGCTCTCTCGCCTGCTTCCCCGTTCGCCCGCACGCAGTCATCACACCAGCCGCGGTTTCCTATACCTCCCGATTTCTCCTTGCTGCCTTTTGTTTTCTGCTTCAACTTGTGCTTGTGTTTCAAAATAAAATTCTCATCGCATCATCCCAAGCTGCTCGCGGATCGTCACTCCTTCCCCGCACTAAATTTAAACACCAACTTGGCAACATTGTTTGCAGTCACGATATTTCCCCACACAGAAATAACCTATATAAACATATGTGTTTTAATATTGGTTTTGATATAGGTTTTTAATATATGTGACATATATAAAATTGGCCGTTTTCCTGTATTATATGTACATATATTCCATGTGGGTCATCTCATTGCTGTGCTGATGACGCTCAGACTCACCTACCCTTCAAACCTCATAGATCTCACTCCCTGATGAACTAATCTGCCTGCCTGAATGACGTACAAGTCTGCATGGCTCAAAGCGTTTTTTCAACTAAAAACAAATAAGACAAATTATTTTATTCAGACCTCCAAATCACATTGATTCTGTTTCCTAGAAGGCTGGGTCAGCTCTCCCCCCATGTGAAATCTTGGTGTAGTTTTTAACAGTGATCTTAAATTTGATCAGTACATCAATTATATAGTCAAATCAGGCTTCTATAATCTCAGAAATATTTCAAAAGATATATCATTTCTATTTCTTCCAGACCTTGAAAAAGTCATCCATGCCTTGATCTCATATCCCATTTAGATTACTGTAATTCTCGTTATGTGGCCGTCAGTAAGTTTTCATTATTGCACCTACAACTGCAGCGAGGCAACATGAATTTCTCAAAAACTCGTCTAGGAGTGATTTAAACAGCAAAGATGAAAATGATTATGATTGTCTTGGAGAACGCATGCAGCGCTCATGTGAAAGCAGCGGGGCCAAAATTTAAACTGATTTTTAAACATATAGTAGACAATCTTGAAAAGGAATAATAATTAAAATTGCAAAACTTTAATGCTAAAAGTTTTTTTGTATGACGGAGTAAAAATGTTTTAACGAAACTTAAATTCCCTGCGCAATAATGTCCGTACAGAACTAAAGGTTAGAAAATCTTGATTGTAATCTTGCTGACTAGCGATGTAAGAATTGCATGTGCATATCATGTGACGTTGGTACTGATATCGCAGAAAGGGGTCAGCCCGATAATATACTATACCTTTTTTCAAATTCAGCATAAAATACCCACACACAAAAAAAAACACAAGAAATTGTCTTGTGATATCATTCAGGGCGGTACCATTTTTACGTCAGTGGAAAACCAACACCTTGGAGTACCGTACTTTTGGTACTTTCTTGAAATATGCTACCTAATGCAATGGAAAGAGACGAGGAGAGAGGGATGGAGAGAGAGGAAGAGAGCATGTGTGAAAGAGGGAGAAAGCAATGGAGTGAGACCGAGAGAGAGGGAACAAGTGAGAGAGGGAGAAAGCAATGGAGAGAGAGGAAGAGAATTATGGAGAGAGCAAATGAGAGAAAGTGAGATAGTGATGGAGAGAGCAGCAGAAAGCATTCGGGAGAGAGTTAGAATGAGAAAGAGGGAGAGAAAGCAATGAGAGTGAGGGGGAGAGAGCAAGTGAGAGAGAAGTAGAGAGAGATAAAATGAGAGGGGGAGGGAGAGAGAATGAGAGAAATAGGGGGGAGTGACTCTTGAAAACCGTCCCATCTAGAAGTTGAGAGAGAGAAGCACACACACAAGTCCCGCCACAGAAGTGCCGCCACAGAGCTGGCAGGAGGCTGAGCGTAACCTGGTGTGTCACTGTGAATCCAGCTGTGAGTTTCACTGAGGGTGCCTCGGAGCAGCGAGGGAGATGCCCCGTGTCTCCCCCATGGCCGCTGCTTGGCTCAGGCTGTGTGCCCTGTTGTGGACTTTCACACTGCCGTCCACCCACGCCAGAACCCCAGGTGAGACACAGCTGCTGATCGACTACACTGGTTAAGTGTACTACAGCTTCCATGGCAAATTCTTGTCTACTGTTGTTTCATTATTGTGACCAGAAGGCTGGTTCAGTAATACATGGAATTTTATGACTATAATACAGAAATGTACAGCACACTCAGAAATGTGATTGAAAGTTAGACTAGACATTGATTCTTCTTTGAGATGGGGGTGGGAGGGAGTGGAGATAAGTTTAAGAAAAATTAGGAAGGTGCAAAACTTTACTTGGTCATCTGAGGGTTAGGAGGGGACACAAGCACAGCACGTGTTGGGGGTGGATGGGGCGGTGGGGGCAGGACACGCTCACCGGGGCTGGATGGGGCGGTGGGGGCAGGACACGCTCACCGGGGCTGGATGGGGCGGTGGGGGGAGGAAATGCTATGGGGGCTGCCGTGTTAAGGAAGTAACACATGTTCTGTCAGCTGCAAGCTGGGGCTGGACAGCCATCCAGGGAAACAAGATGTTCCTGTGCATACCTGCTCAGACTGCTGTTCTGACATGTTGGTGCCACACTGCTCACCATCACACGTGGGAACTCATGGCAGCTTTTTTTTCACTGTGCCTCTGCAGTTTATGACCAATTTGGTGACTTCCTGTGTCCTTCCTGCACGCTTATGTATCGGTTTCCTTCGGTCTATATATGGTACTGCGAGCTGTGGACTTCACGTCTGCCACCATGCTGAGTGTGTGTGTGTGTGTGTGTGTGTGTGTGTGTGTGTGTGAGAGAGAGAGAGAGACAGAGAGACATTGTTGTAAAATTTTGAACTTATTTTGTTTCTGATCGGCTCAGTTTTAAACTTGCCAAATTATTTTATTTCTAACTGGCACAATGGCTAATCAGGCCACTGGGAATTCTCCCCAGTCTCCTGACTGACCACACCAGGCTTGGGTATCATTAAGATTTTAATGGTACTACTACTCTTACCGATACTGCTTATCGATCCAGTACTTTAATCGGTACTTTTTATTATAAGAGAGAAGAAGAAACTAAGTACCAAATTAACATTGTTTATTTCCTCATATGTACTGTATATAAATTAACATTCTTGAGTTGCAAACTGCAAAAACATTGTTTTGAACAAGTCAGTTTTATTGGTTATAATGTGATCATTGAAATGCAAAATTAATTTTTACAGTCAAAGAAACAGCAATGTTTGTATAATTGTATAATCTTAGCATTACCTCCCTTTACTTAAACTCCATACACCTGGAGATATACCCCAACATCCTATTGGCCTACTGGTCATAAACACTTTCACCTGACAAAAAAACAAAACCGAAATGCTAGGAATATGGAGTTTATCTTACGTTAAGCGTTTTCCTCTCCATTGACACCCACCATAAGGAAAAGGCTGTAACAATAATAAATAGGAAATCTAATTTCTTAATTTCTTCAGTATCCAAAACAGAACCGATATAGCGTTCTGTGTATACAGGCGAGCCCCGTCCTACAATCGATGACAATGATGACATTTTGAGGACAATTCAGTATTCCACCACTTTCAGCTCGACTGGTCTCACTGAAATCCACATGATTGTTCCCCTTGCATTTCATCTCTTTGATCACTCTGATAATGTAACCCCGTTTATCCTCTTCTGTAGGTATAAAAAACTGCTTGTAGCACCACCTGGTGGCAAATATGTCACATAACATATGTCATTTGGTGTAGTAAAAATGAGTAACAAGCACGTAAATGTGCCTGCCGGGGAAGCTGTAACTTGACATTCGCAGTGGATGCGGCCAGTAGACCTCCACCATGTCTATGTCATTCCACAGAAATCAACACCACAATCACTTGTCTTCTCTCCACGGACTGCATACTGCCGTGCCGCTTCCGGCCTGCGGGGGAGCCACTCATCACCTGGTACAAGCAAGGAGTCACGATCTATAACTCGACCGGCTCTAGCAATCGAACAAGCCTCTTCAAGGAGCAGCTTGCCACTGGCAACGCGTCACTGCTGCTGAGAAGCTGCACGCTTAGGGACCGTGGCAGGTATACGTGTCGCATCAACAACACACTGGGGGAGCAGCAGTCCACGGTCATCCTCAGAGTTGAAGGTCAGTCTGGCCAAAATGTTTCGAACCACCCAAAAAAAAAAGTATAGGTCTCTGCAGGCTGGAATAGTGAACGGTGTCGAAAGGTTTACAGGCGTGTCGAAAGGTTTACAGGTGTGTCGAAAGGCGGGCATGTCGACAGGTTCTAAATGTGGGAAAGTGGGACGGATCACGAACTACTGGGGAGTTACTTATAGCCAAAGCTCGCTGATTGGTTGATGCTTACACCCATAGCTTGCTGATTGGTTGATTATAAGCACCAGCGCCAATTTGGAAGTTGCGCGAAAGTGCGGGGGAAATAGAATTCAGAGCAAAATCTGAGCAGATGGAATTATTTTTCTACCTCAGTTACATTTAAAGCATCAATTATATATATATATATATTAGGGGTGGAGCCGAACCCGAATACGGTATTCGGAAAGGCACAAATAATGTGTTTTTTACGAATACTTATTTCGAAACAAATACTTAAAAAAATATTTGTATTCGGGAACAAGAAAAACTTTATATCAAAAAGCTGCGTTTCCTCTTGAGACCGCAGTGCATGCCCGGATGAGTGAGTGAGTT